TCTGAGCAGTTCTCAGGAAATCTCCCAAAAAGAAGAAATAAGCATGGCCGGTGGATCTCAGACACATTCCATTGAGAATCCCACAAGTAAAACACAAATACAACAGTTTTATAAAATAAGGAGGTATGGCAAAAAATGACATTAAACATTACTTAATTTGATTGGTTCTTCATAGACAAGCCCTCTTGTTACTAGGTAACCAAACTCTGTTTTTGGTTTCGAGTTTAGACACCTGTCTAGTTTCATTTCCCATATTTGTTATTTATACACACTCACACTCAAAGTCAAATGTTTTCCCTTGGTTTCGAACAGTACATTCTGTTCAAATGTTAGATGTTAAATAAGGTTAGATGTTAGTCTAACCTGGTTAGTTTAATATAGTTTAAAATTCCCACCACACGCTCCACGCTGCCGCTTCTCTTGAAGTATATACAGGTATATTTTTTTTTATTTCGTAATAAAATGGGACAAAATTTTAAATCTGAGACTGACTTTTGCTTCTGTACTTGTGCACTTTAGACCATGCGCTTAGATCCTTAAAATCAGGGGCGTAGCAGCCATTATAAAAGTGGGGGGGACAAAATGGTGTGGTGATGTGACCCAAAGGTCAGTCCTTCCACAAAAATGCCGAGTTTTTTTGTGATTGTTGCGGGCAAAAATCCTTGATTATGCGGCGATGGAATATGCAGGATATTTGCAATTTTATGTGATGAAATTGCGGGAACTTGCAAAAACTGCGGTTTGATGAAAAAGAGAGAAAAAGTGATTCCCCAACACCCTGTTCTCACTAGGCTACTACCTTAATGTAAAGAGCTATTTCTTATTACTTCCTATGATAAGCAAGCATACTACATCACAGAAAGTGCTGGAATATTTCATCTTGTTTTATTTCAGACCTTAATAAACACATGGCTCAAACTTACAAAACATTGATGAGTCAAACAAGTTCTGTAGCTTTACAAAAGGAATATGCTACAACTTCTGTAAAAATGAATAAATAAAATATGAAAAAAATGTTTCCTGTTTTACAGCTTTTTTTTCATTTTTTTTTCAATGATGTTCATGTCGAGTAATTAAGTCACTTCATAACGTTCCCATGGCAACCGGGGGAAACGGCTGCTCTCGTGTGAAGCAAACGCAACATTTTTCAACTTTCTGCTAAGATATATGTGACTTTTTTTTGCAACAAAAATGCGGGGATTATGAAATCTTACAAGCCCCGCATATTTTGCGTGGAAATCGGCAATTTATACGGCAAAAGTGCGGCGTATTTGAAAAAATGCCCCCGCATAAATATGCGGACTTTGGCTGATTATGCATTGAATCATGCGATCGCATAATCGCGTTTTTCTGGAGGGACTGAAAGGTGATGTTCATAATAATAAATTCTAGATGGAATAGCAATTGGGATTTTACAGCACCCTAGTGCCAATTTTGGGAACATGCCATGATAGTTTACAGCAACTTATTTTTGTGAAATCATACTCGAAATAAAAAAATATTGCAGGACTTGGGACTTTCAGGCAACTGTGGACATATATACTTTATTTTTATGAAATAAAGATATTTTATGATATTTACAATATTTCAGTTAAACTACACTTGAACAATAACTTTTATCTCACTTAACAGTTGGACCAAAAAAAAGTGTTCAATGAGTACAGAACAGATTACATCTAGCCTACAGTAATTTTATACAACAGACATTTTATAAAAAATATATCAATAAAACCTAAATCAATGTATTCGGTATTGGACATCAATTTAACATTGACATGTTGAATTTACATTGCATTTTGGTCACCCGACGTCGCAACCAAAATTTAACCAAATATCAACGTCTTATGACGTGTGCCTGCTGGGAATAATCTATGTCTCATTTAACAGACGCTTTTATCCAAAGCAACAAGTAGGAGAGCATTTAACACACACTCGGCACAATCCGGCGCGACGTGAACCCATACGGGTTCTGTTGTCTCGTCTTACAGCAGCGTTGCAGTAGGTTAAATCATAACAAGGAAACTTTACGAGGGATTCATGTCATCGCGACATACTGTAGGCTAACAGTGTGTGTTTGAAAAAAATGATGTAGTCCTCTGCTTTTTTTCTGGGTGCATTAGACGGCCAAACAGCAAAGCGACTAAACAAACACGAAAATTCGCAAGAGCAACAAAAGATTTGAAGCTCATGGCAGACGCGCCCAATAGATGCTTCGCGCTGTGATTGGCTGAATGTTAGCTCACTAAAGTCTAAGTAACAAATCAGAGAACACGGGCGGAAATATTGGCGCTGAGTAAAAAAAAATGCGGGGGACAGAATCACCTGTTTCTAAAAGTGGGGGGGACGTGTCCCCCCCGTCCCCCCCGGTTGCTACGCCCCTGCTTAAAATAGGGCCCTGTGTCTCTGTGGCACTTGCAAGTAATTGTTTGTTTGAGCGTCCCGACCAACCTGACACTGGCACATCCAATGGAAATCACAGGGAGTGTGCAGGAAACCATTTTGAAACCGTAATTAATTTTGCAATTCCAATTTGTGCCACTAGTGGTTCAGAAATTACACACTTGACATTAAATGATAAATAAATGCAGTATTTAAGGTTCATTCTGTCACTCTCAGGTGAAATGCTGTTGTTGTCCAAATGTACAATTCTGATTTGTATTGTTCTATTATTTCCTCAGACTGTGTTTTCTGTTGTCATGTTTCTGAAGCTGTCACCCGATTGGTCGTCTCTGCTCTGGTGGGTGTGGCTGCTGCTTGTATTGTGGTGTATGACATCACATCCAGAAAAGTTCAACAGTAGAGAAAATAACAGACATCATCATCATCATCATCATCATCATCATCATCAGACCTTCACAGATGAATCATATAATGCAATACACATTGTAAGAAAGGAGGAAGAGGAGGAGGGGACAGGGCTATTTTGACACAAACTGGCTATCAGTTGATCTTTTGATCTGAGTTAAGTCTCGGATCAAATATAAAATCCTCCTCCTGACGTACAAATCTCTGCATGGACTTGCACCTCAGTACCTTATTGATCTCCATCCCTACACTCAGCAACGGTCCCTGCGGTCCTCTGACAAGGACCTGCTCGCTGTCCCTAAGTCCAGGCTCCGGACATTTGGTGATAGAGCCTTCTGTGTAGGTGCTCCATCACTCTGGAACAAGCTTCCTCATGCCATCCGCTCTGCTCCCTCTCCTTTAAAAACCAGTTTAAAACACACCTCTTCACTGAGGCTTATGGGCTTTAGCTCCCCTGGCCTCTCACCTCTCTCCTCCTATCCCCTCCCTTCTCCCCCCTCTTGCTTTTGTTAAGCGTCCTTGGGTTTTGTGAAAGGCGCTATATAAATTAAAGTTATTATTATTATTATTATCTTGAATGAATTTACAGATTAATTTCATTTCTTTCAATGATTAATTCTTTCCCTTTTAATAATTATTTTTTACACGTATTTTGTTATATAACTGAGAATAATGGGATTGCTGGCTTCTTTTACTCTGTTTTTTTTTTCGGTTTATGTTTTTCTTATTAACATTACTTATTATTAAGTATCACTTAAGTATTATTTATTACTCTATGTGAAGAGGGTGCATTAATCTGAGCATGTGGCAAAGCTCAATAACATTTAATAGCAGGGAAGGTTGCTGTTTTTTTTAAATAATGTAGCTTTTCAGTGTAAACAGTATTTTATTAAGTAAGTTGTTGTCAAGGATCTCTCTCTTTCTGTCTTTGCCCCATTCGGCTTTCACCCAGCTGGGTAATTGTCATGTTTTCCATGGATATTAACATTTATTTTGGAAAGGGAAAAAAAGCTTGACCAGAGTTTGTTTTTTCTTTTTTTTCTGAGTGTTTTTTCTAATGACAGGTCGCAAAACGTCCACTGAGAACCTAAGGACTTAATTTACATTTTATTGCGGTCAAGTTAATAGACAATTACATGGATTTTTCTTTCTTTCTTCAAATCTCAATTGCAGCATTGACTATTAAACATTTATGGTCTAGAGGTAGCCTTTTTCTCTCTCTCTCTCGTGAAAACCGAATATGTTCATCATTGGTTACAGTCTATCAAGCATGGACACGTTTGTTTGCATTTTATTTTCTGATCTCACCGGATCGAATAGCAGTCTCCGCAACGGCGATAGATAAGCGCGCGTCCGAGTGAAGACGGTGCGCGCGCCACAAAATACACTATCCATGCAACTGATAGCAGCGAAAACGAGCGCTCAGCTTGATTTAAAAAACAACATATTTTAGCGCTAGATCTCTTATTTAATTGCTGCAATATATACCTGTCTCTTTCAGCATAATATAAATAATCGAGATATACTTTACCAATAAATCGGCGTAAACGTCTCTACGTGTTTTCTTTTCTTTTTCTTTTCCTGTCAGTCGTCTCGTATAAGATCTCTGGTTCAGGGCGCGGCTCAGAATCACTCGGAGAACAGAGGACTTGAACAACTCTACGGATCATCTAGCCTATCCATCACTCTACATCAACATGAAGAGCGCACTTACACATGTTCTTTTCTTATTATGTGCGATCTGTAAGTGGTTCTTTTATGTAACATAACTGCAGCACTTTCGTTTTCTACACACCTGCACAAGCATTCTTTTCAATATTTTATTATTCTTTGAATTTCAAAATAACAACTGTGATCACTAGCTAGGACATATTTTGTATAGTGCACAATAATGACTACATGATATTTTAGTCTAAGTAATATTCATGGTAGACACTGGCAGTGTTCACACAGGCCTTGTTGTTTTCAAGGCATAGTTCGCAACATTGTTCATTGAGTTCCAATTAATCTAATGCATTGAATTCAATTATATTGTTTGTTTGAGACGAAACTCGAATATAGCCTAATAATTCTATACTCATTTGTTGGTAATTATTATTAAGATTGAGTTGCAAATATTTATCCGTTGTTGTTTCCACATAAATAATATATATATATATATATATCACTTTTATATTTATTTTGCATATGTCCACATGCTTTCCTGTAGCTCATACAGTAGAGCGTTGTCGCTTGCAACGCCAAGGTCGTGGGTTTGATTCCCAGGGATTTCTGACTTTCTGTTTGTTCTCCAGATGTATTTGGTGATGCAGAGAAAGTATCAGTGCCAGTCATTGAGGGACAGTCTGTCACTTTACACACTGGTGTTACTGAAATACAGAAATATGATCTGATAGAATGGAGGTTAAATAGAAATCGCATTGCTAGAATCAGTGGTGACAACTCCAGTCCTGAAGGGGCATTCAGAGACGGACTGCAGCTGGACAAACAGACTGGAGATCTCAAGATCACAAACATCAAAACTACAGACTCTGGAGAATATAAACTGAAGATCACCAGTACCAGAGGGTTCCCAGTGCAGACATTCAATGTCAGTGGTGAGTGTATCACATTTTTTTAAATTTAACAATTGCTATTTACATAATTAACACCCTATAAACAATTTAAATTCTCTATAAACAATGTTTTGTTACGGATGTAAAATGTTACTGGCAAACTGCTACAAAGCAGTTACATACAAAGAATTTCAGTTTTATTTATGAATAAAATATTTGTCATTATCTGACCAGAAAACTAACAAACAGACCATTTAATATTCAATACAATTGCTGCTTTATTATAAGGAAATATGGAAAAAACATTTTCATTTTCATTCTGTGATAAAATTATCATATCAGTACAGTCACAAGTTGGACTTTAGATTTCCTAAAAAGACAATTAAAAAATGTAATTTAAATGATTTTCTTCTCAAAACAGCTGTGAGAAATTTTGTATTGTTGAGATGAATTTAGACGTGTTGGTCTAGAGGTCTTCTGATCTTGAATTTTTACAATATAACTAAGAATGTGTGTATTTCATTGCCTCTGTTCTGCACTCTGTACAATGACAATAGAGTTGAATGTGATCTAGCACATTTCTGAATAATCAGTCAATACAGAAGTCCAAATTGAATGGCATCTCAGATGCATTTTATTGTGCAAACAAAAATATTATCATTAAACAAGAAAAAAATCTATGTCTATAATGTCTATACACCAGAGACTCACAAACAGGACCTTTTCATCTAAAATCAAATCAAATTCTCATTTGCATTATAGGGATAGTTCACCCAAAAATGATGTCAGTAATTATTCACCCTCATGTTGTTCCAACCCCGTAAGACTTTCGTTCATCTTCGGCAGTAGGCCCCCTCTTAGGCAGGCCAAATATATAGTTTGTCCAAGGACATTTTAATATGGCATTTACAGTTTTACTGACTTAAAAGGAACTTTGTTGTACTATGCTGGAGTAAAGTCCATAAATGATTTTTCTTTCACATATAGATAGGATTTAGTAAAACTATGTTGGGTGGACCTCTGTCCCTCTAGGGGGGTTCGGGGGCATGCTCCCCCGGACCCCCGCAAGAAAATGTTGTACATTTTAAGGTTAAATGCATCAATCTGGTGCACTTTGAGAGCTCAAAATGAAGAGCTTCAACCGGCTTTAACCCATGAACTGTGCACACTGAACAAAGAAAAAGCATTGACTTGTACCTGGACATTAACCCTTTAACTGTCACCCCCCCTTTTTTCGCATAGACATGAAAATCACTATCCAAACTTAAATGGTTGTAATTCAAGAATGCTTTGGAATATAGACCTATGGTTGGTCTTGTTTTTAAGAAGACATTTCCCAGATTATTGTAGAAGTGAAATAAATTATGAAAGTGAAACAGAAAAATTGTTATGTAAGTTTGAGTTTATGAAAATAAACAATGTAAAAAAAATAATTATTTATATTTTATTTAAAATATATATATTACAAAATACATTTTACTCTAAAACTGCAAGAAAATGAAAGCCAAAAATCTTAAGAACTTGTGTTCCAAATTTTAGGTTGATATCTCAAAAAATGATCTTTCAGTAAGATTTTGTTTGGGCGCAGTACCAAACCTTTTCACTAGATGACAACCAGACTCCATTACTGCCCATATAAGGGCGCCTCCATTTTCATATATGTTTTGAGTGATCTGAACCATGTATTTCCATAATTTTCATACAATTTATGAAGTAGACATCCTATTCAGAAGTAGTATGGGTGGTTTGACAGTATTTGATTTGAATTCAACCTCTAATAAACGCATAAAAAGAGCACATATGTGCGTTATAGCTCGCAGCCGCATCACACATCGAGAATCCATAATATTTTTCTTTCTATTTAAAACATTTTCAGACCTTATTTTCTAATACAATTGAATTGGTGTTATCTTTTGAACTCTTGGCATGAAAACAAACTGAGGTTTATACCAATCTTTCATGATTTTTCATGTTTATTGCTATTTCAAAATAAAAGAGGGCTCAAACATATTTTTAGTTATGATATAGTCTCAGTCTATTACATTATCACTGGTGTTTTAGGATTCCAAACAATTTAATGATTTATATAATTATTCCTATGACGTAAAATCCATATAGCCTATACCTGTACTGTATAAATGAAAAAGAATATTTCAAAAGTATATTTTACATTACACTATAGTATAGGAAAATTAAAATACTTTTGTCTTAATTGCTTCACTTGCAAGAAATAAACCCTTGAGCTTTTATTTTGGAGAAAACACCAGATCACCATGCTGATCGCGTGAGCAAATTGCGCACTTTTCCTTAAATCATGCAGCACAAACAGAATGCCTATAGGCTACTTAATTAAAGTCTTGTGCTGGTTTATAAAGGCACAAAGCCATATCATGGTTTCGATTTTAGTTCGTTGGCAAAATATGTTTTATGGCAATTGCACTTTGGAGTTCTTGTCTGGTTTGTGTCTTGTTTTTGGACTGTGTTGTATGGATTTTGACCCTTTTACCCTTTGCCTGGCTGACAATGATTATGGATTATGAGTCAGAATTTCAGAATCTCATCCAGAGGCCGTTCCCAAGCTGCCCGCTGTCATCTCGGAGATCGTTACAGAGCAGTCTGCTGTCGTCCTGGAGACCGTTCTCGAACAGCCCGCTGTCGTCCCGGAGACCATCTCTGAGCAGCCTGGTCATCTCTGAGCAGCCTGGTCATCTCGTCGCGGTCGAAGAGGCTACCCTCTCTCTTTATGTGGCCGCCGTGATGTGTGTCTGGGCCGCACATGTCAACTGTTTCCACCATCAGTCCTGCCATGGCCAAGAGGGCTGTCTTCACGCTTTATGCAGTGGCCGTTGTGCATGCATAGAGGAAGCACATGGTTTCTGCCGATCCAGAGACTGTTCGCGTCACGTCTGCCGATCCAGAGACTGTTTACGTCACGTCTGCCGATCCAGAGACTGTTCACGTCACGTCTGCCGATCCAGAGACTGTTCACGTCAGGTCTGCCGATCCAGAGACTGTTCACGTCACGTCTGCCGATCCAGAGACCGTTCACGTCACGCCTGCTGAGCCAGTGTCTCCGGACAAGATGGCTGCAGCCGAGCCGGTGTCTGTTCCTGTGCCTGAACCGGAAACTTCACAGTGTTATTTCACAGTGTCTGGTTTGTGTTTCCCTGGGTTTCCACCAGAAGTCCTTTTCCACCACGGTGTCCTTCACTCAGACTACATTTCCCATCATCCTGTTTGTCACTCATTGATTATTGCACACAGCTGTTTCCCGTCACCTTGTTGGTATCTGTGTGTATATACCCTGTTTGTTTCAGTGATTGTCATCGAGTCCTTGTTTTATGTCAACTGCACTTTGGAGTTCTTGGCTAATCTACCGATAGATTGCAATTGCTAACGTCATTTATACTCTAAATGAGCTTACTTGATTTTCCGCCATCAATCTTCGTTACTGCGCGAACTTCCGCGAACTTCCACGAATTTCCGGCGTGTGCATGTGATTGTAACGTGCGCGAGGGGTGGCGTGTGCCCGATCTGTGATTGACAGTCAGATCTCACACCCCCCTGCGCTGATTGGACCCGATGATCCGGGAGCTGTGGATTTTTGCAAAACAATAACATGCTCCAGGTGGAGTTAGAAGCTCGGGTTCTCTTACGAGAGGTTCTCTCGTATTGCGTAAGCTAGCTTACGCTGCGGGAAAGATTCATCTTTGCTGAGATATTGAAGCCAAAAAATTATTCCATAATTTGTATCCATACACAACGCAGTTCCTCTGCGGCAGACCTAGAGCGGGCTAGCTAGCAGCTCATTGGTTCGCTCAGAGAGAACTGCTTAAGCCTATGGGAGAGCGGGGCTGAACCCGCTTCCAATGAGAGGCGCCCGCGCGCTCATTGCGTCATGGCCCGCCAGAATGGGCGTGGCCATGGTGTATATAACAGTCTCTCCCAGGCTTACATGTTGATTCATTTCATCTTCAGCAAGCTGCACGCTTCTGCTGTTCCTGAGAAAAGCCGTCGCCGTCGAGAAGGCATCACTCTAGCGAGCTCACGGACCCTGAAGAAGCCGGCCGTCTTCGCCACCTTCAGCCGCCCTGCAAGCTAGCGCCATCCGACGACTGTATCCTTTCTCTATTATATCCTAAAAGAGCCGAGCGTCTTTTTAAAGATGTCTCGTTTTTCCTGCGGCTCTTGCCGCGCTCGTCTCGAGGACGGAGACCGCCATGTCATCTGCGCTCTCTGCCTGGGACTCGAGCATGCAGAACTCGCCCTCGCGGACGGAGGATGCGACTTCTGTGAAAGCCTGCCGTTATCGTCCCTGCGGGCACGACTTCTGGCAGTGAAATCCGCTCCCGCGCCGCCTGTCTCTTCGCCGCGTAAGAAGAAACGCCGCTCTCAGAGGCCGCCGGAGCCCCCAGCGGAAACATGCGGGCCGCCGCCGCCGCCTCCCGCTTCCCGCTCTCCCTCCCCGCCCCTACCGGACATACAGTTGCCGCCGAGTGGCCGCTCTGTCGCTTCTGATGACGCCGCGGAGGAGAAGGACTCCTGTTCACTGCTCGCTTCAGACAGTGAAGACTGGTCATCTCTCGGATCCACGAGAGAGTCGACGGGGACCCGCGCCGGGATAGAGGAAGAGCTGATACGCCTCCTCTCACAGGCCGTCGAACGCCTCGGTCTCGAGTGGTCTCCTCCACCCGAGCAGGCCCCGAACCGGATGGACGGCAGCTTTTTCCATCGGCGCTCGACCCCCGCGGGCAGCCGGGCCGCTCCATTCCTGCCTGAACTTCATGCAGAGCTGACGAAGTCCTGGAATGCCCCGCTCTCGGCTAGAAACCGCTCCGATATATCCGCCTCGCTGCGCTCGGTGGACGGAGCCGCCGAAAGAGGTTACTCAGCCATGCCGCCCGTCGAGGACTTGGTCGCCACGCACCTCTGCCCGCCCTCTGCCAGATTGGCGCTCTTCACCCACGCTTCCTTCGAAAGCTTGCAGAGCGACCTCGAGCTTTCATGCTCGCGCCTACGCCGCCGCCGGTCAGGCCGCCGCT